TTTCCACGAATACCTTGGTGTATTAATTTACTCCACAGTTTTCCTCTATTAACAAAATCAAATGCTTTTTTTAAATCTATAAAGCAACAGTAAAGTCTCTCTTTTTTACGCAATTTCTTGTTAATTAATGTTTGTAAAACAAATATGGCGTCAATGGTTGAACTGCCTTTTCTAAAACCAAACTGAGCATCTGTTATTATACAATTTTCTTTTTCCCATGTCATAATTCTATTATTCAAGATTGATGTAAATAATTTACCAAAACAGCTTACAAGTGATATACCACGATAATTATTAGTGTCGTTAATACAGCCTTTCTTAAAAACAGGAACAATACATGCTTGTGACCAAGATTCAGGGAAAAACCCAGATCTAAAAATAGCATTAAACAACCGTTCCAAATATGGCACCAGAATATGCTTTCCTTGAATAAAAATTTCGTTTATGATTAAGTCTTCACTACAACTTTTGTTTGATTTCAGGTTTTCAATGGCTTTAACAATTTCTTTTGTTGTGATATTAGAATCAAGATCTTCATAAACTGACTCTATATTAACATTAGGAACATGTTGGTCAGCGCCATCATTCTCCTTTTGCGCCAGATATTTAAAGTGTCTATAGAAGTCATCTATTGTGAGTGTATTCATAGCTCTGTTCGACTTCCGATTATTAAAGATACTGTAAAATTTTCTTGGATCATTTCTTTTCAAAAGGACCAGCATGTCGCCTTCATATCGTTTATAATCTCTTTTAAGTTTAAACACCAACCTTTTGTAATTACGTTTGGCGGTTATTAATATATTGTAATTTTGATTTGATTTATCCCGGTTAAAATTAATCAACGAATTTCTGTATTCAGTATATAGATCTTTGCACCGAGGAGTTATCCACGGTTTATCTTCAATAACAACAGTTTTAGTGCGGTGATCGCGGGAGTTTCTCAGAGGGGTATCTCTACACTCACTAAAAGGTAATGTACAATCATTTAATATTTTACTTATATTATTCACACATTCATCAACTGCATCTTGGTTATTTAAATCAACATTCAATTGTTCATCAATTAACTCACAGTTCTCACTTAATTTATCTAAAATTAGCATAGTATTCTCGCCTTTCCATTTCACGGGAAATACGATCGTATCCGGAATAGCAGGGAGCCTAGCAAGCTCCGAACGCATAAGGAAGCCAATTAAGGATGTGTGATATTTATGCTAGTTGAAAGCGGACATTAAGGTGCGATGCGTTTTAAAGAAAGCTTCAAGGATGTGACCATTGTGTGATGCGGTCTACTGCGTCACAAGCTGTTACGGTGTTGAAACATGCAGGTTGATTTCAAAGCTAATTTTAAATTACTAAATTTTATATTGTTTTAGTGACTATATGATATGCATCATTGACAGAAGTTTCAATATGAAAATAAAAACTATAGATTATTTATAGTATTGTTACAGCGTATGTTTATATTATATACAGGTTACTGAGACATGTAAGGGTACATTCAATGCAACAATAATCTATAAGATATGTATATTGTACATTTTATCTTATTCATGTTTCCTTTGTATCATCTAAATTTACAGTCATCAACATTTTCTACTTTGCAGCCTTATGTATATTTCATCATTATTGCTTTAAGGGAGAAGGCGAACTTTAAGTTTTATAACTTGTGTCTAATCCCTTTTGTATTTTTTGCAAATAAAATATGTTTAAATCAAATCTCGAGTGTAACCTGAATAGTGCCGACAAATATGTGTGAGCCACCATTTTTCAAGGACATCAGTGAACCCCACAAGCCTGCCAGTTTACTCATACTTTATTGATATTATATATACAACAATGAAGTAAACAAAATATACAAAGCGTTCTCTATAAAACAAGTTGGACAGTTTTACGTGTATTTAATCAGGAGAAAAACCACCAAGATGATTATGCTGGCTTGTCCACAGAGACTAGCAGGGTGAGAAATCGATGATACTCTATGCGACTTGTATTCAAATTCAAAAATGTGTTTGCACATTTGTAACTACTAAGTAGTTTGAAGGCAAAATAGTAAAACACAGTGAAATACATGCATAGACCTGTACATGTAGAAAAGTCGCAAAGTGATTGCTTATATTTCTAATATACATTAACATGAACAAAATTAACATAGCTTCAAATAGAAAATTTGATTTTAACATATTTAGCTGCAAAGTCCATACCTTATACTGTCAGCAAGCCCACTCTCCTCAGTTCTAGAGACTGTTTAATGAATAAGCAAGAGTCCAGTGTAAACTGCGAGTTGTTTGTAGATAATATTGAGGTCAAATACTTGGTATCTAAGGTAACATCATTGTGATTGGGAATGCATTTTTGGATATAATATTTTCTGACAGATTCATTAAGGGAACAGTGAAAAAGGTAGTGTACTTCATTTTCTAACACACCACATTGTTTAGTGTCTCTGGTATCTTGGTATACTTTTGAGACGCCCCATGGCTAGCTCCAGCTTGTGTTCACATAAACGAAATGAAGTAAACATTTTCCTTAAAATTCTACTATTAATGTTAAGGTATTTTTCAGGGGCACACTCCATCTTTAAGTCTTTATACATGAATAATTTATTACTCTCGTTTATTATATGTAACACATTTCATCGGCGTTGTTACATGGAATAAAGATAATTATTACCATAGTATACTAACGTGTTGCTAGCTATCCATATACAAATATCCACGTCCATTTACCGTTTTCAAAATTAATGATTATGATGGATTCGAGGATATGCCCAGTTCTCTGTGAGAATATCCTCACTAACAAGATAAAATCGAGAATGATACTTTTACAGTGTAATGATATACAGGCGTAGTCTTTATGTACATTCTTCTCCTACTTGGATAGTCTCTCCTAGCTACTGGTCACCGTCGGCCCCTACTCGGATAGTCTCTCCTAGCTACTGGTCACCGTCGGCTCTTCTAGCTACTGGTTACCGTCGGGCGTCAAACCGACGGTTTTTGTGTCCACTCACGACCTGTTACCAGGGAGGCGTCCACTTCCTGTGATGGAATGTAAACAATCACTGATGTGTAGGACAACAATGAACAGTTTTATCCTGAGATACAGCGTTAGGCGGCTCCCTGTTAGAACTTTCCGTAACTAATCCATGAAAGATACATATAATCCGTGGAATGGAACATTTTACGTCATTGATAACAAAATCGGCGATCCGGCAATGTACATGGTTTATTGTTACAGAAGAATATTAATGAACATTTGAGAAAACTGTTTACCTGCTTGACAAAATGTCTCATCCTCCTTACTGTAATCGATAGACACAATGGGAACGGTCAACATAGTCTTATTATTGCTATCACAGCATCTATAAGTCTTATTATTGCTATAACAGCATCTATAAGTCTTATTATTGCTATCACAACATCTATAAGTCTTATTATTGCTATCACAGCATCTATACGTCTTATTATTGCTATCATAATATCTATAAGTCTTATTATTGCTAACACAACATCTATAAGTCTTATTATTGCTATCGCAGCATCTATAAGTCTTATTATTGCTATCACAGTATCTATACGTCTTATTATTGCTATCATAATATCTATAAGTCTTATTATTGCTATCACAATATCTATAAGTAGTATTATTGCTATCACAGCATCTATTAGTCTTATTATTGCTAACACAACATCTAAAAGTCTTATTATTGCTAACACAGCATCTATAAGTCTTATTATTGCTATCACAGCATCTATAAGTCTTATTACTGCTATCACAGCATCTATAAGTAGTATTATTGCTATCACAATATCTATAAGTCTTATTATTGCTATCACAGCATCTATTAGTCTTATTATTGCTAACACAACATCTAAAAGTCTTATTATTGCTAACACAGCATCTATAAGTCTTATTATTGCTATCACAACATCTATAAGTCTTATTATTAAAAACAACTTTTGGAATCTCTATACTGTTGAATGACATTCATGACGAGGGAATTAATTGGAATGAAAACAAGATTAACATCAAATGAAATGGGAAAAAAAGACAAATCGCAACTCAGCGTTGTCACAAATTATTCTCTGTTTATAAATTTGAAAAAATATGCATACATTTACATTTGATTTGTTTACAGTTCAGATAGTACATGTATAAATTAAATATTTAGTAAGGATTTCCGTTACTAACCCACGAATTGAATTCTGGTGCTGAACTTTCTAAAACTAGCGTTTATGACTATTAACATATCTACACGATATAACATGTACACCTCATAAATAATATTTTCCTTTTTACAAAATCAGAATTAATAGAATTTTTTCACTAGAAGGTTTGAAATGACATTCTATTTACAGCAATTTATGATCACGTATTTATAACATGTATTCGTTACTTCGATAGTAAAACGGATAACATAATGGAAACATTTGCCTTTACAACTTTTTTCTTTCTATAAAATACGGTATCACAGACAAGTTGGTTTTATCACAATATCTTCGACACCTCCTGTCCGATCCTCTTGTTGACCCTGTCGATCTGCTCTCAGGACATCTCAAGACATTTCGAAGTACATGTAATCCTGGAGGTAAACAAAAGTAACATTAGAATAAGGAATGAGGCAAAATACTACAGCTTCACTCATCAGGGGCCGTATTCACAAACCATTATAATACTCAACTGTGCTCGAACCCAATTCCTGGATCCCATGATATATTAATAAAAATGCCTATGACTTTGGAGAGACGTGAAGCCAAATACCATTTTCGATATTAACATTTGTCATTTTGATCCCGTCACATGATTAAAACAAGAATCTATAAGAAAGTTGGTTGGAGCAAAGAATCCATACCTGAGCACGAAAAGGGTTTCATGAATATGGGTCCAGATAAAAAATAAATGTGTCAAAACGTCAGGTATACAGTTAGTATCACATGCCAGTCAAAACACATCATGAAACTGCACTGTGTCAATACAAAATCATAAAAATACCATTATTTGAAACTAATTTAAAATGCTATAGGCTTGACCCACCTAAACAATACCATAGCTTCATAACTTGTGGAGAAATGATAGCGTCAGTGTATAAGGTGAAAATGCAAAAACATTAACATGGCAAATTGAAATACAATAGCAGGTCAATCATTCAAAAATAAATAGATGCTAGAAATCTAAAATGAGAGCAAACAAAAGTAAAGCACAAGTATTCATTGATCCTGATATCCAGACCACACAATGTCTGTAGCTGTGTCTGCAGACAAACCATCTAATAACCCTCTCTTTGTCTGCGAACACTACCACACTACCTGCTTGCAAAAAGAACTAGGCTTGCTCGATAACCAAGGAAACCATAGCTAACTATACTTTTTCCAAATTTCGAAAGACGAAACACTAGCTTATATGATAAGGGTACGGATCTGCGTCGTTTGTAATGAATTCCGAACTTCACATGAATCTTTATTAAACTGTTTAACGTTAGCTCTACTAGTTGCTTAGTCAAGCGATTGCTACTATTCTTAGCACAAGCACCATCAAATCAGGGTTACAGTCGTATCATGACAATTTGTACACAATGCGTTGAATGAATGGAATGTGGATTTCAAATTCAGACTTTTCGACCCTTTATAATACCATACCAACCAGAAGGACCGTGTTCAATCTCTTAATATGAGAGCTCTCATTCAAAGAATGGTGACGGACGATATAAAAATATGGTTCTAAATTATTTTGGAGCATATTTTGTGAAAAGCACAACAAAGGCCTGTGCGAATGATTGATTTCCTGGTTGAAAATATCTTTTTTGAGTTCGGTAGCAACATTTTATAGCAGACTGTAGGCGTTCCTGTGGGAAATATGGGGAAATACTGTACTCCATTTCTGGCTGATTTGTTGTTGTTTCATATGAATCTGAAATTACTTATTAGATTATCAGCACTGGTAATACAACCCAGCCAATTCCTTCCAGTTCACACTCAGATATATTGACGATGTGCTGTGTTTATTTAAGAAGAAATACATCGACCCCATCGATCACATATACCCTCCTGAGTTTGAAATCATTCGCGTCCGATGATCTTTATTCACAATATTACCAAAAGGACGAAATACAATGACGTCAGTACAGTGCCAAGTACCATAGCAGAACAATAAAATGTGAAAAACTATCATGGCGTATACGCCGAGGGAGTAATTACATATATTTTAAAGAAAAGAGCAAAGAATCATAGCGTTTACAAACATATCAAACTACACTCGTGCCATCACGGAATGATAAATTTCCATAGTGCCATCACGGAATGACAAACTACACTAGTGTCATCACGGAATAATAAACTACACTAGTGTCATCACGAAATGATAAACTACACTAGCGCCATCACGGAATGATAAACTACCATAGTGTCATCACGGAATGACAAACTACACTAGTGTCATCACGGAATAATAAACTACACTAGTGTCATCACGGAAGGATAAACTACACTAGTGTCATCACGGAATGATAAACTACACTAGCACCATCACGGATTGATAAGCTACACTAGCGCCATAACGGAATTATAAACTACACTAGTGCCATCAAGGAATAATAAACTACACTAGTGTCATCACGAAATGATAAACTACACTAGCGCCATCACGTGTCATCACGGAATGATAAACTCCACTAGCCCCATCACGGAATGATAAACTACACTAGCACCATCACGGCATGATAAGCTACACTAGCGCCATAACGGAATTCTAAACTACACTAGTGTCATCACGGAATGATAATCTACACTAGCGCCATCACGGAATAATAAATTTCCATAGTGCCATCACGGAATGAAAAACTACACTAGTGTCATCGCGGAATGATAAAATACTCTAGCGCCATGACGGAATGATAAACTACACTAGTGTCATCAAGGAATGAAAACTTTTACTAATGTCATCACGGAATGACAAACTACCCTAGCGCCATCACGGAATGATAAACTACACTATGATAAACTACACTAGTGCCATCACGGAATGGCAAACTACACTAGCGCAACAACGGAATAATAAACTACACTAGCGCCATCACGGAATTATAAGCTACACTAGCGCCATCACGGAATAATAAACTGACATAGTGCCATCACGGAATGATAAACTACTCTAGCGCCATCACGGAATGATAAACTACACTATGATAAACTACACTAGTGCCATCACGGAATTATAAACTAAACTAGTGTCATCACGTAATGATTAACTACCATAGTGCACTATCATAGTGCCATCACGGAATGATAATCTAACATAGTGCCATCACGGAATGATAAACTAAACTAGTGTCATCACGTAATGATTAACTACCATGTGTCATCACGGAATGATAAACTACACTATGATAAACTACACTAGTGCCATCACAGAATGATAAACTACACTAGTGCCATCACAGAATGATAAACTACACTAGTGCCATCACGGAATAACAAATTACACTAGCGAAATCACGGTATGATAAACTACACTAGCGCCATCATGGAATGATAAACTACACTAGCGCCATCACGGAATGGTAAACTACCATAGTGTCATCACGGAATGATAAACTACACTATGATAAACTACACTAGTGCCATCACGGAATGATAAACTACACTAGTGTCATCAAGGAATGATAAACTATACTAATGTCATCACGGAATGACAAACTACACTAGCGCCATCACGGAATGATAAACTACCCTAGTGCCATCATGGAACGATAAACTACACTAGTGCCATCACGGAATGATAAACTACACTAGTGTCATCACACCATGACGGAATGATAAACTACACTAACGGAATGATAAGCTACACTAGCGCCATAACGGAATTATAAACTACACTAGTGCCATCACGGAATTATAAACTACACCAGCGCCGTCACTGAATTATAAACTACACTAGTGCCATCAAGGAATAATAAACTACACTAGTGTCATCACGGAATGATAAACTACACTAGCACCATGACGGAATGATAAACTACACTAGTGTCAACACGGAATTACCAGCGCCGTCACTGAATTATAAACTACACTAGTGCCATCAAGGAATAATAAACTACACTAGCGTCATCACGGAATGATAAACTACACTAGCACCATGACGGAATGATAAACTACACTAGTGTCATCACGGAATGATAAACTACACTAGTGCCATCACGGAATTATAAACTACACTAGCGCCATCACGGAATGAAAAACTACCATTGTGTCATCACGGAATGACAAACTACACTAGCGCCATCACGGAATGTTAAACTACCATAGTGCCATCACCGAATGACAAACTACACTAGTGTCATCACGGAATGATGAACTACCACAGTGCCATCACGGAATGATAAACTACACTAGTGTCATCACGGAATAATAAACTACACTAGGCGAAATCACGGTATGATAAACTACACTAGCGCCATCACGGAATTATAAATTACACTAGCGCCATTACGGAATGATAAACTACACTAGCGCCATCACGGAATGATAAACTACACTAGCGCCATCACGGAATTATAAGCTACACTAGCGCCATCACGGAATAATAAATTTCCATAGTGCCATCACGGAATGAAAAACTACACTAGTGTCATCGCGGAATGATAAAATACTCTAGCGCCATGACGGAATGATAAACTACACTAGTGTCATCAAGGAATGATAAACTACACTAATGTCATCACGGAATGACAAACTACACTAGCGCCATCACGGAATGTTAAACTACCATAGTGTCGTCACGGAATGACAAACTACACTAGCGCCATAACGGAATGATAAACTACACCAGCGCCATAACGGAATTATAAACTACACTAGTGCCATCACGGAATTATAAACTACACTAGCGCCGTCACTGAATTATAAACTACACTAGTGCCATCAAGGAATTATAAACTACACTAGCGCCATCACGGAATGATAAACTACCATAGTGTCATCACGGAATGACAAACTACACTAGCGCCATCATGGAATGTTAAACTACCAAAGTGCCATCACCGAATGGCAAACTACACTAGTGTCATCACAGAATGATAAACTACCACAGTGCCATCACGGAATGATAAACTACAATAGTGTCATCACGGAATAATAAACTACACTAGCGAAATCACGGTATGATAAACTACACTAGCGCCATCACGGAATGATAAATTACCATAGTGCCATCGCGGAATGATAAACTACACTAGTGCCATCACGGAATAACAAATTACACTAGCGAAATCACGGTATGATAAACTACACTAGCGCCATCACGGAATGATAAATTACCATAGTGCCATCGCAGAATGATAAACTACACTAGCGCCATCACGGAATGACAAACTACACTAGCGCCATCACGGAATGATGAACTACCATAGTGCCATCACGGAATGATAAACTGTACTAGTGTCATCACGGATTGATAAACTACCATAGTGCCATCACGGAATGATAAACTATCATAGTGTCATCACGGAATGATAAACTACACTAGTGCCATCACGGAATGATAAACTAAACTAGTGTCATCACGTAATGATTAACTACCATAGTGCCATCACGGAATGATAAACTACATTAGTGTCATCACGGAATAATAAACTACCATAGTGCCATCACGGAATGATAAACTACACTAGTGCCATCACAGAATGATAAACTACACTAGTGCCATTACGAAATGATAAACTACACTAGTGCCATCACAGAGTGATAAACTACACTAGTGCCATCACGGAATTATAAACTACACTAGCGCCATCACGGAATGATAACCTCCCCTAGCGCCAATACGGAATGATAAACTACACTCGCGCCATCACGGAATGATAAACTACACTAGCGCCAATACGGAATGATAAACTACACTCGCGCCATCACGGAATGATAAACTACACTAGTGCCATCACAGAGTGATAAACTACACTAGTGCCATCACGGAATGATAAATTTCCATAGTGCCATCACGGAATGAAAAACTACACTAGTGTCATCGCGGAATGATAAAATACTCTAGCGCAATCACGGAATGATAAACTACACTAGTGCCATCACAGAATGATAAACTACACTCGCGCCATCACGGAATGATAACCTCCCCTAGCGCCAATACGGAATGATAAACTACACTAGAGCCATCACGGAATGATAAACTACACTAGCGCCATCACGGAATGATAAACTACACTAGCGCCAATACGGAATGATAAACTACACTCGCGCCATCACGGAATGATAAACTACACTAGCGCCATCACGGAATGATAAACTACACTAGCGCCATCACGGAATTATAAACTACACTAGCGCCATCACGGAATTATAAACTACACTAGCGCCATCACGGAATGATAAATTTCCATAGTGCCATCACGGAATGAAAAACTACACTAGTGTCATCGCGGAATGATAAAATACTCTAGCGCAATCACGGAATTATAAACTACACTAGCGCTATCACGGAATGATAAACTACACTAGTGTCAACACGGAATTATAAACTATACACTAGCGCAACCACGGAATAATAAATTACCATAGCGTTAACTCATAACAATAACATCAGATAAGGACATAATATACAAACAATCGACTAGAAACAGAGCCAAAATATCCGTGATAACGGAACTCAGTATAACGTTGTATTATATGAAACAGTAACATGAATCATAAAAATGATCGTTCTTTAGGTTCATAGTAGACGATATTTTAATTTCCCTAGTTTTAACATAGTGGTAGTATAATGTATACATACCATGAGGAATGCCGCTCCAACCACCAACATTTTCTCTATGGGGTCCATCTTTTCCGGAACTGGAACAATATAATAACATTTAGACAGTCACTTAAATCAATAGAAAGCATGAAAGTAAATTAACAGGAATGCTAAGGTACAAATGACAGCTGGTAGATATAATAAAATGTTTCCAAACAATTTAAATGGTTTGCATAATAATTCATTAATGAGTCCAATCTCTGGTAATGAATACAGATTTTGTGTATTAAGTTTACTTATTTCGTTGACCTGGTGATTTTTATAATAATAACATTCAACGACGAGCAAAGCTAACAACATACATTGCATGTATATTTCTGACACCATATAGGTGTATATTTCTGACACCATATACGTGTATATTTCTGACACATATACGTGTATATTTCTGACACCATATACGTGTATATTTCTGACACCAAATACGTGTATATTTCTGACACCATACGTGTATATTTCTGACACCATATACGTGTATATTTCTGACACCATATACGTGTATATTTCTGACACCATATACGTGTATATTTCTGACACCATATACGTGTATATTTCTGACACCATATACGTGTATATTTCTGACACCATATACGTGTATATTTCTGACACCATATACGTGTATATTTCTGACACCATATACGTGTATATTTCTGACACCATATACGTGTATATTTCTGACACCATATACGTGTATATTTCTGACACCATATACGTGTATATTTCTGACACCATATACGTGTATATTTCTGACACCATATACGTGTATATTTCTGACACCATATACGTGTATATTTCTGACACCATATACGTGTATATTTCTGACACCATATACGTGTATATTTCTGACACCATATACGTGTATATTTCTGACACCATATACGTGTATATTTCTGACACCATATACGTGTATATTTCTGACACCATATACGTGTATATTTCTGACACCATATACGTGTATATTTCTGACACCATATACGTGTATATTTCTGACACCATATACGTGTATATTTCTGACACCATATACGTGTATATTTCTGACACCATATAGGTGTATATTTCTGACACCATATACGTGTATATTTCTGACACATATACGTGTATATTTCTGACACCATATACATGTATATTTCTGACACCATATATATGTGTATATTTCTGACACCATATACGTGTATATTTCTGACACCATGTACGTATACCTTTCTGACACCATATACGTGTATATTTCTGACAACATATACGTGTATATTTCTGACACCATATACGTGACTGAGACCATATACGTGACTGACACCATATACGTGTATGGTGTCAGTCACGTATATGGTGTCAGTCACGTATATGGTGTCAGAAATATACACGTAAATGTGTCAGAAATATACACGTATATGGTGTCAGAAAAATACATATATATGGTGTCAGAAATATACATATATATGGAGTCAGAAATATACACGTATATGGTGTCAGAAATATACACATATATATGTATATTTCTGACACCATATACGTGTATATTTCTGACACCATATACGTGTATTTTTCTGACACCATATACGTGTATATTTCTGACACCATGTACGTGTACCTTTCTGACACCATATACGTGTATATTTCTGACACCATATACGTGTATTTTTCTGACCCCATATACGTGTATATTTCTGACCCCATATACGTGTATTTTTCTGACACCATATACGTGTATATTTCTGACACCATATACGTGAATATTTCTGACACCATATACATGTAGTTATGATGCTAATAAATCAAAACATGGTAAACAATAAACTCTAGCTTCAATCACCAACATGACAACAGTGGACGTGACTTACAGTTGACGTGACCTACAGTGGACGTGACCTACAGTGGACGTGACCTAAAGTGGTCACTACAGTGGACGTGACCTACAGTGGTCACAACAGCGGACGTGACCTACAGTGGTCACTACAGTGGACATGACCTACAGCGGACGTGACCTACAGTGGTCACTAAAGTGGACGTGACCTACAGTGGTCACAACAGCGGACGTGACCTACAGTGGGCACTACAGTGGAAGTGACCTACAGTGGTCACTACAGTGGACGTGACCTACAGCGGCCGTGACCTACAGTGGTCACTAAAGTGGACGTGACCTACAGTGGTCACAACAGCCGACGTGACCTACAGTGGTCACTACAGTGGACGTGGCCTACAGTGGTCACAACAGCGGACGTGACCTACAGTGGTCCCTACAGTGGACGGGACCTACAGTGGTCACTACAGTGGACGTGACCTACATTGGACGTGACCTACAGTGGACGTGACCTACAGTTGTCACTACAGTGGACGTGACCTACAGTGGACGTGACTTACAGTGGACGTGACCTACAGTGGACGTGACCTACAGCGGACGTGACCTACAGTGGTCACTAAAGTGGCCGTGACCTACAGTGGTCACAACAGCGGACGTGACCTACAGTGGGCACTACAGTGGACGTGACCTACAGTGGACGTGACCTACAGGGGTCACTACAGTGGACGTGACCTACAGTGGTCAATACAGTGGACGTGACCTACAGTGGTCACTACAGTGGACATGAACTACAGCGGACGTGACCTACAGTGGTCACTAAAGTGGAGGTGACCTACAGTGGTCACAACAGCGGACGTGACCTCCAGTGGTCACTACAGTGGACATGACCTACAGCGGACGTGACCTACAGTGGTCACTAAAGTGGCCGTGACCTACAGTGGTCACAACAGCGGACGTGACCTACAGTGGTAACTACAGTGGACATGACCTACAGCGGACGTGACCTACAGTGGTCACTACAGTGGACGTGACCTACAGCGGACGTGACCTACAGTGGATGTCGAAGTACTCGTGGTCCATGTTGATCCCGTCGTCCCGGTTACCCTCCCACTTCTTGTTGATGTGGCCGATAATCTCCTCCCCCGTCTTGTCAATTATCTGTCACAGAGGAACGCACATCAAGTATTCGATATATAATTTAATGTGTAATATCAATAGCTATATATGTAGCAAATATATCGATATTAGTTTACTTATTGACGATTCTGATTTTTGTTAAACGTATTAAACAGGCAAAGTTTTCAAATTCAAGATCAATTTCATCACATTACCTTAAGAATTTAGAACACAATATGGCTTGAAATTCGATACGAAAGAAAATTCACCATTAACAACCAGATGAAATGGACAAGAAATCAGTTATTAGAGAAAGATATGTGTTTCCTGTACTACGTGTTGTTAACATTTCAATGATGTGATTGGATGGCAGTAAGACTTAGATACCATGAACGTTTATATGATCATGTAGGCATTGAAATCAGTTATGATTAAGAACGGTATATTTCTTTAGAGTATATTGGAGTTCCTCCGATAGACAACTCTGATTACAGAATTAATTGAGGAAAAAGATTCATGTATCTATTGAAAAAGTCCTTTTAGTTTGAACAGACGCAGGAGTAGTAAATCAACTTTGTGTGTAATAGCACATTGGCGTCATATGTACGTATACAGAAAACATTGTATTTGACAAACTCGTTTGATGTATCGAGCATGCTCATTAACTAGGAGCTATGTATTCCCTGTGTTTGTAGTATATGACTATCTATCTGACTGTGTGTGGCAGTAAATGTTCTCGTGTTGCAGCACGTGGATGTGGGAGGCTCTTACCTCTAGTGTGGACTCGGCGGCACATCGACACGAACAAGCGGGGCCCACAATCTTCGCCACCATTGCTCCTTCGCTATCCACGATATCAAACCGACTGCCACACAAACTGTACCTATCAACATCGGAACAATGTACAAGGTTGGGAACATCATCACAATATTTAAGTATCATAGCAATAGTAACGTATGAAAGACATTCTGTACAGTCCATACAACGCAAAGAAGTAGATTTCCTGAACGTATGTGACGGCGAATTGAAAATCCAACAATACCGTTTGTGGGGCTGACCAATCAGTACACCTAGGTATGCTATAGTGTATGTAACTTCATTTGCAGGAATTTATCTTACATATCCAAGCATCCGGATGAGATAGTCTAACACCGTGTAATATATACAAATACTCGATATTAATTGACAATTTCAAGCGTCCGGCCGAGGCTGTCAATACTCACCTTTGTTTCACAAATCCAAGTGTCAAGTTGAGGTAGTCTCTGCTGATACTTTCTGGTGTGTAATGGACTAAGCGTTTGGCTTAAGTAGTATATTTCCTTCTGATATAGTATACTTACTGCTGTTTGATGGAACCAAGCGTCCTATTGAGGCAGTCCACGACGTACACTTTGTTGTTACAAAACATGCAGTCCAGACAGCAGCAGCAGTCACAGCGACACGACTTCCGGTGCAACGTGAATACAAGATCATCGCTAGGAGTATAGAAGTCTAGTTTAAACTGACGCTGGGGCCCACAGCACCATCGACAGCAACAGCTCGACGCTGTGGAAGCAAACAGTGAAAGAGTCAGTGGGGAGGACATGGACAAAGGAGGAGTAATGCATGTACTGTTCTTGTCATTAGGGAGGAGGGAAACGGGAGGAGGAAAACGGGAGGAGGGAAACGGGAGGAGGGAAACGGGAGGAGGGAAACGGGAGGAGGGAAACGGGAGGAGGGAAACGGGAGGAGGGAAACGGGAGGAGGGAAACGGGAGGAGGGAAACGGGAGGAGGGAAACGGGAGGAGGGAAACGGGAGGAGGGAAACGGGAGGAGGGAAACGGGAGGAGGGAAACGGGAGGAGGGAAACGGGAGGAGGGAAACGGGAGGAGGGAAACGGGAGGAGGGAAACGGGAGGAGGGAAACGGGAGGAGGGAAACGGGAGGAGGGAAACGGGAGGAGGGAAACGGGAGGAGGGAAACGGGAGGAGGGAAACGGGAGGAGGGAAACGGGAGGAGGGAAACGGGAGGAGGGAAACGGGAGGAGGGAAACGGGAGGAGGGAAACGGGAGGAGGGAAACGGGAGGAGGGAAACGGGAGGAGGGAAACGGGAGGAGGGAAACGGGAGGAGGGAAACGGGAGGAGGGAAACGGGAGGAGGGAAACGGGAGGAGGGAAACGGGAGGAGGGAAACGGGAGGAGGGAAACGGGAGGAGGGAAACGGGAGGAGGGAAACGGGAGGAGGGAAACGGGAGGAGGGAAACGGGAGGAGGGAAACGGGAGGAGGGAAACGGGAGGAGGGAAACGGGAGGAGGAAAACGGGAGGAGGGAAACGGGAGGAGGGAAACGGGAGGAGGGAAACGGGAGGGGGGAAACGGGAGGAGGGAAACGGGAGGAGGCGGGGGTAATGTTGAGATTAATTAAGGACAACAATAAGAACGTCAGTGGGAAAGGTCGTGTGCAATAGGGACATTGTGCCCTTGCTGATGTGGACATCACTAGCATTATGTGATGGCACGATGGTGATACATACCTTCAATGACGTAGAAGAGCTCGTCCTCTGTCTCGTCCCATATTTTGTACGTGTTAGAGGACCCACAACCGCCTGAAATAAAGTTAACCAACATTGAATATAACGCAACGTTAAAATGAATAAATCTGCAACACAATGCCGATACAAACCAATTCCGGAAGGAACCAATCTAGGTAAGATAATCCGTCACAAGCGAATCTTAAACACAGTGCATCATGGTGACCGTTAAATGGTTCAGTGCTGCTTCAGTCAAACTGATACATCTACTCAGAATGCAGCCAATCTTAAGTCTAAAGCCTGTTAAATCAACCGGACACGTCACTCAGAGGAGGTGGATGTTTTACTACCAAAAACAGGAAATTCAAAAATCGTGACATATGGTTTTGTTGTTTGGTGAAGTAAGTGAGATGACTTTAATGTGACACTCTAGGTAAATGTTAAAATGTGATGTTGCAAATGGAGTAATTAAACTTATATGAAACGTAGGTTGTTCTTAGCGTTCTTGTTATATACAATCGCAAAAAATCGTGAATATATATAGCATGCTCAGTGTATTTGTTGCTGTTTGATAAATAAGATCATGTCTGTTAATAAGTTGTTGGAATCAGCGTTTGCCGATTTGGGACAAACAAGATGCATACATAAATCCTTTGAGAAAATACTGACGTCATATGTGAGGAATGGCGGTTTACAGAAAAACATTGAGATGTCAACAGTTTCAACAGAAGTGATCTTACATAAAGAGGCCGATTCAAAGTTAACGTTAGACTTTAACATACACATTTGATTGATACCGGTACATGGATGATACAGAACCACACAATGTTTGCATGCCGTTGTGTCACGTGATAAGTTTAGACAACCCGTTACGTGACGTGATAAGTTTAAGCAACCCGTTACGTGACGTGATAAGTTTAGACAACCCGTTACGTGACGTGATAAGTTTAGACAACCCGTTACGTGACGTGATAAGTTTAGGCAACCCGTTACGTGACGTGATAAGTTTAGACAACCCGTTACGTGACGTGGTAAGTTTAGACAGCCCGTTACGTGACGTGATAAGTTTAGACAACCCGGTATGTGACGTGGTAAGTTTAGACAACCCGGTATGTGACGTGGTAAGTTTAGATAACCCGTGATGTAACGTGGTAAGTTTAGACAACCCGTTATGTGACGTGGTAAGTTTAGACAGCCCGTTACGTGACGTGATAAGTTTAGACAACCCGTTACGTGACGTTGTAAGTTAAGACAGCCCGTTATGTGACGTGGTAAGTTTAGACAACCCGTTATGTGACGTGGTAAGTTTAGACAACACGTTATGTGACGTGGTAAGTTTAGACAACCCGTTATATGACGTGGTATGTTTAGACAGCCCGTTATGTGACTTGGTAAGTTTAGACAACCCGTTATGTGACGTGGTTAGTTTAGACAACCTGTTGTGTGACGTGGTAAGTTTAAACAACACGTTATGTGACGTAGTAAGCTTAGACAACCCGTTATGCGACTTGGTTAGCTTAGACAACCCGTTATGCGACTTAGTAAGTTTAGACAACCCGTTATATGACGTGGTAAGTTTAGACAGCTCGTTACGTGACGTGGTAAGTTTAGACAGCCCGTTTTGTGACGTGGTAAGTTTAGACAGCCCGTTACGCAACATGGTAAGTTAAGACAACCCGTTTCGTGACGTGATAAGTTTAGACAACCCGTTGTGTGACGAGGTTAGTTTAGACAACCAGTTTTTGACTTTGTTAGTTTAGACAACCCATTATGCGACTTGGTTAGCTTAGACAACCTGTTGTGTGACGTGGTTAGTTTAGACAACCTGTTGTGTGACGTGGTTAGTTTAGACAACCCGTTATTGACTTGGTAAGTTTAGACAATCCGTTGTTTGACGTGGTAAGTTTAGACAAAGCTTCAGTTGTATAAGTGCCTCACAATAGACTGTTGTTTGATACGGTTAACACCATTGTCCACCGACATCTTTACAGTGGATCGTTTTGCACTTTTAATGTAGATATTGTTATATAAAATTTGTACGCAAGAGACTTTTTTATTGATTTTTGTAGCTGAAGTTTTTTTTCTGCCACGGTTTACATTATTATTATACGCCCGTCAAATTTGACAGAAGTATTATGGTATGGAGTTGTCCGTCCGTCCATCCGGCGTAAACCTTTGTTTGTCCGGCATAATCATGATATGTTGTTGTGCCCTTTGTTTGTTTCAGTATCTATTTTTTATCCGGCAATCTCCTCCTACATTTTTTGACGGATATCGTTGATACTTGGTATACATTATAATCATGATATGAGGTTGTGTCTCCCTTAAAAGAATTTTGATTCGACAATTTTTCCAAAAGTTATTGCCCTTTGTTCAATTCAGTATTTGATTTTTTGTCCGGAGATTTTCTCCTACATGTTTTATAGCAATTCAGCTAACAACTCTTAGAATGATGCAGATCTTATTTCAATGTAAGAAAGTATATAACACTATATGGCATTCGACGGGCGTCTATTGGTCCGCCCCGCGGTACTCTTGTTTTTAGAATAATGTTCAGAGTGTATATATATATTGTAGCTAGAAGTGATAAATGTGTAACGTTACTTGTGTTTGTATCTACCTTTTCATTTTTTGGTATTTTTACACATATGTCTGAACACTACAGACAAGAATTCAGAATCTTTGTGCCACTGATTATGGTGCAGTATTGTACATAGGTATGCTTCGTTTGATTCTCGGCATCGATATAAATAGGTTATTTCTTACTTTGTGTTTCTGGTGATAATTCTACTCCTTGGGAGTTAGGGGGTATGGGGTTTTGACAATCATAATCTTCCTTAACCTAGATACGTAAATCTGTTTTAGAATCAAAATAGGATAATAAAGTACATTCACAAACTCAAGTGTGCCTCGCGTGAACTCCATACTTAACTTCACCATACTCTTCAATACTATTTGACAAAGTATATTCCAATGAAATACCGGATCTGTTTATCTAAACTTCGTCTTTCTGCACATAATTTAGCTATTGAGACTGGCAGATACAATAACATAACGAGAGAACAAAGACACTGTATGAGCTGCATTTCAGATATTGAAGACGAATATCATTTTATTTTAATATGTAACAATTTTCATATTCTGAGAGTAAAATACATAAAACCATATTACTGGCGAAATCCTTCAATGTTTAAACTTGTACAGTTACTAAGTGCTGATAATATCAGCGTTATTCGTAAACTTGCTAGATACATTTTTGAGGCAAATAAGGCACGAGTGACGTAAACATGCACATCAATATAATTTATATAAATGTCTATTTATGTATTATTGACATTTGTATCGTTACGGATTACATGTTGTTGT